GCTATTGTGAGGGGGAAACTAAAAACCCTTTGCTCAACATGTCTCATGAGTAATTCCACTAGTATGGCAGATAGCAGTGAGCCCATTGGGATCCCATTTTTGCAGGTATATTTTCCCATTAAACTGAAAATAATTGGGTTCAGTAACAAAAAGTAAAGCCTTGCATATCTCTAAGACTTGCTGTGCTGAAAAGCACTCCTTGATGAGTAGTGTATTGGCAAGCATGACTGCCTCAAACTGAGGTACTGAGGGGTAGTGCTACAACATCCATTTTGTAGAAACTGTACCTATTAGAGGATAATTTATCTAACGCAGCAGATAAAGATGCTTTAGCTGCAATGGAGGAAGGTGTAACAAGGGGAGGAGGAAGGAGCCCACTTAGGAGCTTGGCAGGTGCCTTTTCAAGATGGTAGGTTGGGTGGGTCCTTTTATTAACCAGCAGCCTCAGTGGCCAGCCCTCTTCATGCGTTTTAACCTCAAAGAAGAGCCTAGGGCATGCTACATTGGATGGAGGTTCCACGCACTCAGGAAGAAGAACAGATACACTCAGTAGAGATATTAAAACAATAATAATAATAATATCTGTGGGTAGTCACGACTAAAGATAAACATCATGTTGTGCAATGGTGGGCCGGGGGGCTTCTATGCAACGTGCATGATCTACTTACTGTTACTGCCTTTCAAACCTGCTTTTTTTGAACAATTGCTTTATTTGATTGCTGATGAATTTCTCTGACTAGCTGATGTAATAAGAAAATGGATAAATTAATTAAAAAACTGATTCCATTCTGATGCTGTGTAAAAATTTTAACCTTCGCTGCAAAATTTTAAAAATTAACAGTCGTATCAGTTTTTTTATGATAAAAAATAATAACCAGATGGATTGTAGCTGCTAAATATAGCAATTAAAAACAATCCTTACTAAACACTTAGGAATGAATGGATCAGTCTTTCAGGAAAGAATTTCTCAGTAGTGTATTTACCCCGTATGGTTAAATATTTTGAGTTTCTGGACAATACTGAGAAGTTTACATTGACGCAACGATTCTATGTAACAAGACTCACAAAAATATCATATGGATAGTTTAAGGGTCATCGATAAACCCATGCACAAAATCTCGATGTTCAGCCGAACCTCCATAACTTGAAGTCCGAATGTTTTCCCCCCCATCGATTCGAGTTAACCAGGTTCCATTGTACTAATATAAAAGTTTATTAGATAAACTGTGATAAAAGAAAATTGGTAAAAGATTATAATTTTCTTATAATTAATAATAGTTTCATTATAATTAAATGTCAGTATAATTTTGATCAATGTGACATAGGCCTGCTACACACTCTGATGCTGTATACAGTATTAATTAGTGGATGTTATAGTTTCATACAAAAGGAAATGTTTATCGTAAAGGATGTTAAAATAATTTCTCTCGTACTTGTTACTATAAGTTCTTGCTGTTTGTTGAGCATTTTATTAAACTATGACCTAAAATTAGAGTAATTAACCTACTTAAAATTGTGGAATTTGTTTCTGGATGAAGATTAAAAATCCTTTGCTTGTATATTATATAAATAGCTAAGTTTTACGAATAAAATATGGTTTTTTTAAGTAAATAGTAAAACTATTGGTTAACATACTGTAGCCTATACGCTAAGCAACAGTTTTACAACATGTTCAGTGAATAATTTAATTTAGATTTATTGAGTGCAATGAAAAATAATTTTATCATAAAAATCCAATGTCCTATATTTAAATTTTGAAAATGAAATTAAATGAATATTTCCGATATACAAATTGCAAAAATTCACTAACTATTATAGCTTATATATATTCTAGATCACTTATTAATCTGTGCATTGCATTAAAAATATTTTTACTCCTAAATATAGTATTCAGAGATAATTATATAGTTAGTATTTAATTATTATTCCTATGAAAATATTGTGAATATAAAGTACTGAAGTAATGCAGATCAGTGTATCAATTAAGTGTAATTTAAAAATCATCTCTACAGTGATTCCCTTTTTTTAGGTCAGGGATATTTGTTAGGAAGAGGTTTTGGTCAGAGGGATTTGGTCATTACAAACAATAGAAAGCTGAATTAATATGACATTGAATTGAATAGTCTTGCCCAGGTATGGCCAACATACAGCCCGTCTAATGAATTCATGCGGCCTAGGATTAATCTTTCAATATTAGCTACTGAAGTACAAATAGCTTGATGAAAAATTCTGATGCCTAAAAAAAAGCAGGTCAACAACTCACTGTACGTTTAGAGTTAACTCCATTACAAATCTCTTAAGTACAGCGTAGAATGTTGATAAAGCATGATAATGTGAAAAATGTATCTGTAATCTGTATGTACAATTTAGTCTCTATGGGGTGGCACCACAATGAGATCTTGCACGACCTCAAAATCTTCCTAGGGCAGCCTCTGGTTTGGCCCGTGAAAAAAGTTTTCTTTCCAATTCGGCCTGGGGACAAAAACTGTTGGCCACCCCTGCTCTTGCCTAATGATTTGAATTTAATCACAATATCAGTATACAGTATTACAAAGCATAGTCTACAGAGAACTTCTTATGAAGTCTTCATTTTACAATTGATCTTATAATATATGAAAAACATATATCACCTTTCAAGTCAAATAAAAAAAAACTTTTGTTAAAAATGATATTATTTTTTTAATTACTGCTACAGTTCTTAAAGTACACTAATTACATAATACTGTACGTGCTCAATTAGACCAATGGGACCGAATAAATGCGCATCCCAATCACATTTAAAACACTTAGAAAATGGGACTCGGATAATCCTAAGCTACAAATTACTATAAATAACCTATTCAAAATTGTAATTAGGGATCATCAATAAATTACGTAATGCTGTTTCTGTACTTTTCAACTATCATCCCATTCCTTGTAACACTGCCTCATATACTATTCCCAAAACAGCTATAAATAACTCTAGTGTATGTATAGGATGTCATAAGATGACTCAATCAGAGACTACAGCAATTACACCTTAAGTCCCAAATCTTCATTGGCACATTCATATAACACTAGATTCAACGGATTTTATTGCAGAATCCCAAGTTTTATCCACCAATTGGGAATCCCTGTACTAGATCAATTATTAATATTTTTATTTAACAATCCCTGTGACCACCCACAGGAATTGTTAAGCAGAATGGACAAACATAAAAACTAGAAATAAACCCACAGATTTGAATAGCTCCACAGGCTTGAATAAGCCCACATCCAGTAGTATCATTAGGGGTGCAGGGTTTACCAATGACACCATTAATTTTATAAATATTAAAATTTTGTGCAGTATTTCAGCTAAAATTTGGGTTCTTCTGGATTTGCTACTGTGTCTAAACATATCTAAAAACATGAAAATAATCTGGCCTCTAGTTAAACCATACGAGGACTGTTCAAAAAGTATTGGACCTTTGGTTGGCAAAAATACATTTATTGATTTTGAAGTACAAAACCCTAATCCCCTTCAAAGTAGTTTCCTTGGTAGTGTATACACTTCTCACAGCGCTCCTGCCATTGCCGGAAACACTGCTGGAATGCAGTTTTTGGAATGACCATCAGCTGGTCCATCACATTCCGCACGATGTCTTCTCTTGACTCAAGTCGGGTTCCTTTTAGCTGCATTTTCAGTTTGGGAAATAGCCAAAAGTCACATGGAGCCATGTCAGGAGAGTACGGAGCGCGACAAACCACAGGAATGTTGTGTTTGGCGACGAAAGTCTGAATTAGATGCACAGAATGGGTGGGTGCGTTATCACGATGGAACTGCCAAGCTTTGGTCGACCACAGATCCGGTCGTTTGCGTCGCACAGCATCACAAAGACGACGAAGGATCTCCTGGTAGTACTCCTTTGCGATGGTTTGGCCTTGTGGTGCGTACTCATGATACACCACCCCACAGGAGTCGAAAAACTGTCAACACGACCTTGATATTGCTGTGAATCTGCCGTGCTTTTTTTCGCCTCGAGGATTGTCCCCAAAAGCCTGCTGAATCTTGTGAATGGTTTCCGCTTGGGTATCACCAAGGTTTTTGGTGATACCCAAGCGGAAACCATTGTAACATAAAAGTACTTTAACAAGCAATTGTAACATAAAAGTACTTTAACAAGGTTAAAAGGTATGAAAAATATAAAATAATGAGTTGTTGTTCTAGCACTTTTGAGTCTCAAAAGACATTTGAAAGGTGTTATATATTCTTTATGATTTAAAAGATATAACAATATTCAGGAATAAATTGTGATAAATTGGATTCCTCCAAGCTATACAGCAATTTTTAAGAATTAGGCACTGAAAAAATAAATTAATATCTGCTGTCACCATCACTGTCTAACATTTTTGTAAATCTTAAGTCATAATAAACACAGTTTTCTCTTTACTGGTACTCCTTTTAAGCTGCATACCATCACTCACCCATTCAGTCTGAGCATCATTTGGGTTGCTCAGAACATGACTTGCATATATGCTTCCTGGCTTAAAAGGGACATTGATCTACAGTTTCAATCACTCCTTTAACAATCGTTTGCAGACCCAATTGTAATTATTTTTTATAGTCTAAATATCCAAAAATGCATTAACAGATGATAGTCTTTGATTGATTGAACTATTGCTATTACTAGAAGTTTGTGTATTTATTTCTGTTTTTGTCATTAAGTTAATTTTAAAAATTGTTATAAATCACAGTTTATTAATTTATTTTATTGATTTTCATTGTTTAATAAGAAATGTAATTCTAAAAATCATAAACATAAATGAAAATATTACAATTTGCAGAGATTATTTAATAAGAAAGCTATGTTTAGAAAATTAAATTGTAATTTGAATTGTGTTGTTATATGTATAATAAAAATTTTATAATTAAATTATACAGTAATCACATAAAATATCATAAATGTTAATTCATACACTTCTAAATAAAATTTTCTAAATTAAAAGTATAGATGAATAATTACTTTTAATATTTTCAGCATTAACAGTTCCAGAACCTTCAAATATAGCAACAGCTGCATGGTTTATAGGAATGATGTGTGCTATAGCATTGTTACTTCTATTGTTGATTATTGTATGTCTAATTAAGAGAAACAGAGGAGGAAAATACTCTGTACACGAAAAAGAAGCTGCGCAAGGTGGAGAATTAGATTATCCGGAAGAGGGAGGATTTAACGAATACAATAAACCGTAAGTGTGACGAAATATCAATTTATTTATTTTATCATCATTTTTTAAAATTATCTTTGGAAAAATATTTTTTAATGCAGACTATGGTTTACTACAATGATTTTTAATTATGGTTCTTGAAAACCAATAAAGATAACTGTTTCTATTTAGTTTAACAAAAAGTTAAGCCAATTTACAGTCTAACTTTTTAATGTTTGATTTAACAAACCAACAATTGAATTTGTTTTTCTTTTTTTTTTTACACACAGAATAAGTGTAAAATGTATAAAAGGAAAAGATGTTTTGGTGGCTGTCAATGTCAAATTTCAAGATTGTTGATTTTATATTTGTTTCAATTAGAAATAGTACATTATAGGATTGTTAACAGAAATAAATTTTTTTAACCCTTCAGAGTGAATATTTCTAAAATGAGCAAAATCTTAAAATCAAGAATAATATATTGAAAATCTCTTTCTGTAAGAGATATTAAAGGAAAATAATAGAAGTACATGAAATATGTGAAATAAAATCTCTCTACAATCAAAACCAGATGGATTTGCTGGATTTTAAAATTTCTTGGCATATGTTATAGATTTAGGTCATTTATGATTGTGTCACCAAATAGAAAAAGTAAAATTTTTTATATCACATTCAACATAATGTATATTTAGTCCTTAAATTGGTCAACCTAATGATTTATCAGTTAAAATTTAACATTATAATGTATAATTTAGGGAAAAAGATATTACTAATAAGTATTATGGGCTACACAAGGCTAAAATGTACTCATTGGCATTAAGCAAATATTTGTTATTTCATATTATTGGATTTATGTTAGATTTATATGATGAATATGAATTTAAATTAAAATAGCACTAACACATAAGTAGATTAAAATAGAAATATATTAAAATAAAATACATAGCTTGTAATTTTCATGTTTTTATATTTTACTTTTAACTTATGTAGAAGGCCAACATGCAAATTTAAATTTTTGTTGACTTTAAAGAATTAAAAGCTAGTGGATTTCTTTCTTCAGTAACATATCACACAAGAAACAGTTGTTTATGTAGCTTTTATTAAAGGAAATTAAATAAAAAACTGTTCCTTGTATGATATGTTACTGAAGAAAGAAATCCACTAGCTTCTAATTCTTTAAAGTCTACAAAAACCAGTAACAGAAATCTAATTAAATTTTTGTTGTTCTAACACATACCTGATTTTGATTAAAATATTCTATAGATTGATATTCATGCCAAATTTTGTATAGTAGGATGGAGAAATCACTGAGTTTGGCATTATGTGTGTTTTATCGCAAGTACTTTCGACGAACCTTTAGTTGTCGTCATCAGGCGAATACAGAAAATTAATAAGAATGAACAGACATATTCTCTTATGTTGTGAAGGGAAGGCACACCACAGAACTTACAAAAAGGTACTTGAGCAGGGTTACAACCCGATATGGTCCCAAACAATTATGCTCAAGTGCTGCAAAAATCAAAAACTCATTTTTATATGGGAGTCCCTTCTTACTACAACCATAGATACATGCAACACTTTTACCCTTGACCTGCCCGGTGTATGGGTCATGCTGTATAAGTGATTAAACAACTATCCTTAGCCTCCGTCATACTTATAATGTGGGCCTAGATCCATGCATGCACTGCTTTGCATATTACATATCTCACTGCTCAATTTCAAACACGTTTGAATATTTGTTGCTTGCTCTTAACAGTGTTATCAAAAGTTTTAATTTTGAATAATATGTGTTCTATTCTTCTTCCTCAGAATATTTCTGTTCATTCTTATTAATTTTCTGTATTTGCCTGACGATGACGACAACGATAGGTTCATCAAAAGTACTTGCAATAAAATGCACATATAATGCCAAACTCAGTGATTTCTCCATCCTATGATAAAAATATTTATGACCTGATCCATTGAAGTATTTTACGGGGCTCATATATTTGTGACCTGTCACATTGAAGTACTTTATGGTGCTCAAATGCACCACTTCTGTATATTTTTTTCCAGTTTCTAATATTAAATATAAATAGTTTCTATGTGAAATTTGTATATTTATATTGTAAAAAATATTTTAAGAAATTAATTAATGCATGTGTGTAATGATAGTAATATTGTTATTTAATATTTTAGTGTTGAAAATCAAAATCCACCTCGTGGTAGTAGAACATCTTTGAACAGTAGTATAAAAGGTCCAGAAAGTGAGACAGACAGTATGGTTGAATATGGAGAGGGAGAAAATAGTAAATTTACAGAAGACGGCTCGTTCATCGGCCAGTATGGTGCAAAGAAGAAAAAAGAGGAGGACACTACATCACCATCTGCACTTGCTACGTTTGTGTAGCATAATTCATTTTGCCTGTGTACAGAGTCTTCAGGCCATTTTAATCTTAAATCTTATGGACATGCCTTACTGAGTCATTGTAGCCTGTCTGCATATTTGGTATACATTTGTTTGAACAAAACTTAACCAAATAATCATCACAGTAAAATCTAGGTCATTTGTAAAATGGCACCACATGCAATTGTTAGGTTGAAATGTGAATACTATTTACAATTGTATGGCAACCTGTTTAATTCAGGATCTAGTGGAACAGCCACTGCTTCTTTGTTCCTAACTATTATAAAACCAGGGAATATGATTTTCTGCAGTTTCCAAAGTCATATAAATGAGGTTAGTGAAGCTTCTATGCATGTAATGCTTTCCATCTTAATTTAATAACAGGCACACTAAATTTTTGAATTAAGAATCGAACAGGCTGCTATTAACTGTCTAAGATCTCTTAAATGTTAGTCATTAGTACATATTTATTTGTTTGAGTGGCAATTAATTTTCTGCTTTTTCTTCCTTTTTAAAATCCTCTTCAGAGGATTTTGTGATATTTTTTTTTCATGTTATACATAAATTTCTTTTTCTACTGAGTTGTACATTTTATATGTTTAATAATTTGAATCAATATACTATTTATGATCAATAGATGGATTTCACATTAGAAGGCTTCCAAAAAAAAAGATAAGCCTGTATAATAGAAAATACACATCATTACGTATAAAATGTAAAATATTTAAGAACCTTAGTCATAATAAACAATAGAATAAAATTAAAAATTATTTATTTTGTATTGCAGAATTACAGCTATGAATATTTATGATTTATTCATTATTTAATTTTATTAACATTCTTATTAATGGTGAAATTACAGAATATTTACAATTTTATATTTTGATTATTAAGAGGACCAGAAATTTTTATTATTTTTATTTTATTTTATTTTTCAATTTATTGAAATTTTTTGGGTGAGACGTTTAGGAGAGTTATAATGTAAACTATATAGTGTTATGTAAAGTTCATAATTATTGATGGTAAATATGCCTCGTTATTCACTATAGAATTTGAAAATTTGCATCCTGCAATGCATACTTAAATCTGAATTTGTAATGTGCGATAACTTTTGCGCTGAGCTTGTAGTTATAAAATAAGATAACAGTAGCAATTGCATTGCCATATACACAGATATGTAAATATTCAGGGCCATTATCATATGCTATTCATTTTGTTTTAGTATTTCACTGTATATTAAACTGATGTAAGTTGTTAGCAACTAATGTGGTTGCTGCAGTGCCAGATCTATTGATTTGTATTTGCCATTAAGGAGATTGCATCATGTAACGATGTTGAATCTAATGGCCGAAGCATTTAGTCACGTAGCAAGTTTAAGATGTGTGTTTACAGTATATAGTATTTAATGTTGCTGAAAGTCAATATTTTCAATATTAAAAAAGAATTTTTTTTTACTTTATTATGGTGTGAACAGTAGGATTTTATGACTGCACAAATAGCTTTGTAATGTCAATTCTCATGATTTTATGTAGTCTGTGAAGTTACATGTCCATTTTAAAGAGGTAGAAATCTCTTATCGATGTTGTCAACAAATATGCATAATTTAATAATGCAAGACTTCTTGTTTCAAACTGTTTATGGCAAGATTTATTTATTTATTGTTACGTTCAGAATAATTTTGTAAATTTACTAATTTACCGACATATAATTTTGACATTTTTCCTGAAACGTCTTGTGAGATTAATATAAATCAAAACTGTTGTTGCCACAAACAGAATGGAACAAGATGTAATTTGTTTTCTTTCTATTTGCCAGATCAGGCACAAAATACAGAGCAAGTGTAAAAAGCTGCCTAACGTATGTCCGAACAATTGAAGCTTTGTAGTGCCTGGTCCGTTTTCCTGGTTGATTTATACGGGAAGAAAATTAATGAACAACTTACATTTCTTTACAAGACTTCCAAATAAAAGACATTTTTTGTCTGTAAATGTGATTTATTTACTTTATTAGCACCAAACAAATTGATTCTATCATTTGAAAACAATACAGAATTACAATACCTATAAACTGTAATTTTTTATAAAAATATTTTCAAATTTTAAATTATAATGAAAATCATTATTTTATGAGGGCAGGCTGATAAGTTCTTGGCCTGACCTACTTAATAGTATATTTGACATGAATGGATGATGCAACACAATTGAATAAATTTTTGATTATAAGACACTCAGATTTTGGTGTGGACAAAGTTGCAATGCCCGATTCAACAAAATAGAGTTGATGCACCTCTCAGAAAAAACAGCACCAAATTGAGCAAATTAACATTCAAACAAGTCCAACATCCATCTTATTTCCAACTTCCCTCAGATTACATCTCTTCCTTATCTGAAAAACACCTGTAAGGAGGACATGGACTACAGAGTAATTGTTGAAGGACCAATGTTCTGAACTTTTGTAATGAGATAAAAACTTTGGAATGCCTCTGCAGGAAGTGCATAGAGTCCAAGGGGAAATATGTTGAATAATATGCACAGTACAGTCATTCATGTACCACACTATACAGTATTTGCTTGTGTTAGGCCAAGAAATTATCAACCTGTCAAAATTAAGATTTTACAAAGAAACAAACCTTAAAATATATCTGAATTTTTCAATATTTTATTTTAATAAATTGAAAGTATCTATAATAAAGAAAGTTTTTATTGTAAATATATGTAAATGTATAGCATATTCATTTACTATTATAAAAAGATAAATATTTCTCTCTAAAATTCTAATAAACTATACAACAATTCAGAATATTACAACAAATCTTTATGCATAGCACCTATTGATTGACAGTAAAATCTTTTTCTCCACAGTTGAATATTTACAAATGTGGAACAAGTGTTGTTTATATTGCTATTGAAATATCAATATCATTGACATTTTTAAATGAACTATTTCTTAACTCAAATATTATGATTTATATTTTAAAAATTAGCTAACTACAGGTCAAACTTATTTTTAGATATATGTTAATTAATTTACTATACTTACAGAAACTTCTAATTTACATAAAAGAATTTAAATACTTTGCAACTTTAGCTGAGATTACAGCTATACTCTCCATATAAACTGAGAAGAAGAAGCTGAGATTACAAATTATAACAATAATTAGAAAAATTAATTATTAAATAATTAAAACTGTCAAAATTTAACTAATTTTTGCAGTGATACAATTTATTGAGTTATTTCTTAATTAAATAAATATAATCAATCATATATATTTTTTATTAATTGAGATTGTAAATAAAATTTATTAATAAATACATTAAAATTGCATAGTTTTTATGAAATTATTAAGCTTATTTGTTGTTGCACATAAATAATAATTCAGAATTTATTAAATTTGTCCATATTTATAGGATTTGTGAAATTAAATTATTGCAATATTTTGGCTTAATATGAGCACAGACAGTAATAAAACTGAGTAAAAGTATCAAAAGAAAACAAAAGTTTTTTCATGTAAACATATTCAAAATACCAAAAAATTATATTTACTATATTTTACAGTCTCCATTATTATTTTTTTTTTGCATTAAACAAATTACAAAATGAGTTTTTAGTATTAGATATATTAATACATAAAAAAGAATTTTATTTCTTACTGATAACCATTTATAAACTGAGTTTGAGTAAAACATTTCTTTGTGCGAATAATTTGGCACTATTGATAAATTGCATTGAACTTCTAATTATATTTGATATTTTACTCTATCACATAACATTCTATTAAATGCAAGACTCAAACATTTTGTTAAGAAATTGCATCTTATATCAATTATTTCAAAATTTGAAAAATAATATAAAGAATTTTTAATTCCAAAATACTGCTTATTACATTTAATGATTTTTTATAATATTTTTAAGTTTAAGATATTTGAAACATTTACTGATTTCTCATATCAATTAGAACCAAACCCTTCATAATGAATATTTTGTGTTCCTTAATATACTGAACATCAGATAAACCTTTATTTGATATACAGTATATGTTGAAAGTTAAATATCTAAAAATGGATATATAAATAAATATATATACTCAATATATATATACTGACTATCATAAAAATTTTGTGGTAATATTTGATTGATTATTATTTTCAGAATTTATGGTATTTGTTGAGTAACTAAAGACATTTATTATGCATCAGAAGTGAAGAGGTACTGTGATCAGTGCATCTTCTCTGGATCTTTCTATTTCACAATTCTAGAAAGATGAACATGTTAAGTTTTTAATAATAATAATAATTTATAATACTGCAAAACATTTTTAAAAATAATTAAGATTATCTAAAAATTATAAATTTATAGAATCTTAAAAAAGTATATTCAGCATTTGACAAATATATGGTATATTAAATCTAAAAAATGATTTGAAACATGTTCTTACTGTTTATAATATAATTATTTAATCTTATATTTTATACAACAACTGAATTTTTGTGAAAAATAACATTCATTAAAATTATTATTCATTATATACTAATTTTTAATAAAGATAGGATTTAATTTTTAATAAAGACCTTCCTTGTTTCATTTCTACTTGTGCTTTGTGGCTCATGCTCTTAAGAAATAAGTTAAACACACAAGACGGTGGTTTGCGGACAACGGGTTGATATTAACAAGAGCTGACAAAAGTAAGCATTCAGTAATAATGAATAAACAACGCTACCAAGACTCTAAAAGAGTATATAGAAAAAACCGAATGTAAAAGGGTGGATCACACTATAGTTGATAAATTAGACAGGAAGATGAAAAAATTAGAGAGATCATCCATCACTGCAATCTTTCCATTTCTCAAAGGAACTGGTATCACAGGCTCAAGTATACCTAGACTGTTCAGATTCGCAAAACACACAAGATTAACAAAGATATCATACCAGTGGTCAAAAAGTGTAAAGGACCAACATATAAGCTAGAGAAGAGCCTGCATAGATATTTATCAGAGCGTATAGAGAATAACCACTTTGTCACGAAGAACCCACTCAGCTTAGTTAATGAGCGCCAAAACGTATCTTTAATGGACGAAGAGATTGCTTCAATCATGGACATCAAAAATCTATATCTGTCAATAAAACTAGATACATGTTTTCATGCCTTAATGGACACCTTGCGCATATTAGACCCAAGAGTGATGGCCTATCCTGAGGATATGGGGCTACTTGCTGACTTGATATGTTACCAATCAGTTTTCAGCTTTGAAGGCAAGATTTATAAACAAAGGAAAGGTGTGCCCATGGGCAGCCCAATGTCCAGGTTACTCTGTGAATTGGTTCTGCGTAGGTTAGAACAGATTACTATTAGAAATTTTAAAGATGAAATATTTTGTACAAAAGATATGTAGATGATGTATTCATTTTGTGGAAGAATGACGGAAGAATACAGCAGTTTTTGAATGAGATGAATTCTAATAACGATGGCTTAACACTAAAATTGGAGCAACTTAGTACAACAGAAGTGCATTTTTTAGATATTAGCATTACATTTGAAAAAGGTTCCTTAACCACAAGGATATACATCAAACCTATGCACAACCCATTATACATTCCTTCCTCATCTAATGATCTGCCCGCTTACAAACTGTAGGCATTTAGGGCTCTTATTAGAAAGGCATTTGGCTATTGTTCCAACATATACAACAGGTGGCAAGAGTTAAATAGAATCAGAACATTGCTAGATCCTTAGGATTTAAAATGGAAATCGTTGAGAAGTTAACAAGATTGTACTCAATATCTAACAAAAAGAAGCCAAAAGGGAATTCAAACAAAGAAATTACTAAATTCACTTACAGCGGAGGAATCTCCACTATAATGAAGGAGGTAGCCAACTACAAGAATACAAGATTGGTTCATAATGGGCTCCCACGATTTATAGTCTACTTAGGAATGTCAAAGATAGGATCAAGAAGAGGAGTTCTCTGGGGTGTACAGAATACCATACAAAAATGATCAGCTGGATCTGAATAAAGAATACATAGAGGTCACCAACAGGAATTTGAGTAAAAGGCTTAAGGAGCATGTGTATGATATAAGTAAAGGGCACTACAATACAGCACTATCTAAGGTGGCACATGTACTGAAGGTTCAATAATTGATTGGAATGAAGCTAGGATTATTAGACAGGTACGCTCACCATCTTTAGCAATGACTGTGGAAAAATTTGAAATATACAGATCAGGCGCTACAGGCAAGCGTTTGAACTATAAAGATGCTACAAATTTACCAACAGCATGGAAATATATGATTGATAATAACCCGGTATAATCAGTTATAGAGCATGCACTCAGTCCATATAAGTATGTTTATTGTATGGATATATATTTTTTATTGCATTTTATGTTAATTTACTTTTTTTAATATATAAATGGCTTGCTGTATGGTGTATTACAAGTGTAAATCCAAACTTTGGTAGATGTATATCATGGCAATTTTGCTGTGAGATACATCTACCAAAGTGTTTTTTTTTTTTGGATTACAGAAACGGATTTACATTTGTAATTTACTTTGTTTAGTTTGTTTATTTTATGTTATTTACTTTAATTGGATCCATTTATTTAATTAGTTTTATTTAGTTCTATTTATCATATATATTTTTGTATTTAAATGAATTGTTCAAATGGATATAGAAATTTGAATTTTGTTTCACATAAACATTCAAACCTGGAACCAGTGCAAAGAAACATTCCAAGAATTTAAAAATACCTGAGGATGACCTGTGGAGCAGGTAGAAAACGTTTGTAGGATGATAAATATTACTTCTCTGAAACATAAGGTGTTTGAGTCAAAGTATTCAAAGAATCTGAGTCTTTATTGAGAGATAAAAAATATATACATGAAATTAATAATACTATGTAATATGATCCAAAAATGCAACAATTTGAAATTTGAGATATTTATTATCCTTATTTCTCTCAAGTTACTGCCCTTCATGCATGGTGTATTTTTGTAACCCAAAGGATTCTGTTACAAGATCAAGATTAAGGAATTGAAATAATGGAAAAATAAATAAATAAAAATATTATGACTATTTAGGTCATCTTGGCTTCTGTAAGAAGCAACTCATTTTCTTTTAAAAATGATAAACAATGCAAAAATTTTTTATTGCAGAGCAGTGCCATAACTAGGCAGATGTATAGGATAGAGCCCAGGAGGAAGGGGGTATTCTGAAATGGAATATCAAATATGATCAAATAAAACTCCACTTACTTAAGCCTGTAACCAATGTGAAATGGTAAAACTCAAATATGATCAGTATTATATTTTTATTTTCAAATTTTAAATTTGCTGCCTTGAGGACTGATTCTGTAACATGGTTGGATATTTTTTAAATTTAACCAAGAATTTCAATCATATTTATTTTATCATACTTTTCCCAAAGAAGACATCCAAAAAATATAATCTTGCACAAAGCTAATCTTACAAAAAGCTAAAGCAGAAAAAGGTTCAGAGCATTAAAAAAATAAGAATATTTCATTATTTTTAGGAAGGCAGCAATTTTTCAGAATTTTGATTGATTTTAAAATTTTAAAATCAAAAAAGATTTTTAAAGCATTTAAAGCACAGAAGCCATGTGACTACCACCAGTCTGCTAGAGTATGTACCACTTACCACACTCCAGCAGACTATCAAATATTTTCAACTAAAACTGATATTTGATGAACTTATTTAATATAAAGATTAAAATAATAAAATTCGGTATAAACAAATGCTAAACCACATGCTATTTTCAGCAACTGATGCACTATTACATCACTTATGTAATGGTGCATTACATAAGTGATGTAACAGCTAATGCACCATCACTTATGTAATGGTGCATTAGCTGTTGAAGTATAAGTAAAAAATATTTTATACTGTTCTTCACTGATTTGCTTACACTCCATCATTTGCACATATTTTATATGTAGTATAGTAGTTTGTCATATACTATGCTAACTTATGTAAACTATTAATAATTGGAGGTATTAATTTTAATTCTGAATATGTTACTGATAGACTTAATGTACAAAAGATTTCTTACCAAGATAACTTGAAGACTTAGCAGTTACTTGGCATCCTATGCATATTCTGTTGCAAGTATTCCTTTTTGTACAAACTATGTAATATACCAATGATCATAATTAAAATTCTCCTAATCAAAACTGTCTAGACAGCAATCCAAATGCAACCAAATTTCATATGATAATATTTTAGGATATATGGAAGACATTTCTGTAAAAAATATCACCATTATAGTACTGCAGGCAATAAACATTTTATTTGTACAATACAGGATACTGCTTAATGTGTGCCCCATTCTGAAGGTAAAAAACTTGAAGGCAATAGGGTATTCAACAGATGACCATAACTGATCATCTGTGATATTGTCTTTCATGACTGTCAAATTTGCAGCATGTCCTCAATTTATTTTTGGTTATGGTTTATTAAGTGCCCCATAACCAAACATAACACAGATTAAAATCCAGTGAGGAAGTAAGATATGCATAAATAATCATTCTGTTTTCAATGAAATATTGTCAGAGAAATTGCTATAAGCAGTGTGTGATATGTGGAGTCTCTGTCTTGCATGAAAGTCATTGACTGAAAGCATTGTTACTGTTGAAGTTGGGATATGACAAAAGTATTGAGCATCTCTTGATATCTCTGGACTGACACACAGTATGTCATAGCCCATTGGGATTAGGTTCTTTGAGGAATGGTCCAAGGATACATGTGGTTGTAAAACTACACTAGACTAACTTTATAACACTAGTGGAATATGCTATAAAATACGAAAATTTTCTGTGGCCCAAATACAATGCTTCAACTTTCACAATATCTTCCACACTGTGCCACTGGACATACTCAACTGCCACAACACTGCCTGTGCATTATTGGAACTTGCAATATTATTGACTATTCAAACAACAGCTATGGTAACATCTTCAATGTGAAGTGTTAGGTTTGAGCCCTCAGCTGGATTGAACTCCCAGACATCCAGTTTCCTTGAATTGAGTGATTATTCTCTTGTGAGCTTGTAGAGTCAATAGACCTTGGCATAAATTCTTATGACAGTGAAATTCCCAAAAAGCAGTCATAGCATTGCTGTTATTTTCACAAAATAGCTTTGTAAGAAATGCATGTTCTGGCAAATGGTCATGAATATCACTGAACCATTCTTCTTCAAAGAAGTTAGTCCCAATGGTGTTTGATGTGTTCTACATCAGCT